GACATTGCAATTAAAAAATGTACCGATTACAACATGAAACCAGTCAGATTATGAGCCAGGTAAAATTTTTTTTACTAACAAATATTACGTCATCGATGTTAAAGTAAAAACGGAGGTTTGACATTCATCTCTGGGCGTCGCTCGGAGAACTGTGTTCGAAGGCACGTCCATCCGACGTAACGACCACAGTAGGACTAACGTCTAAAGTGGTGTAAAGGAGATACGGAGAACATAATAATGAATAAATAACTAAAACGAAGTCGGAATGAGAAGAATGAAAACAAGATTCTAACGCGACGATAAATCATGTTTAAATATGGCCGAGCCAACCAAGTGATCATAATACGTACGATAGCGTGAATTTGAGTTGGGAAGTATTCCAATTTCAAAAGGACAAGGAATTTCTCAACGTCGCGGATAGAATGCAATAACGGCCGTAGTGTCGGACTAATTGATCGATTTTAATTTCGCACAACACTGATAAAGCGAGAGCGCGCGTGGAGGCAACGCGAGAAGGTACCTCCTCGGCAGGTTTTAGCTGCTGAGGATAGAAACAGGCAGCAGGCTTATCTCGGGACATTTTCCTCCATTTCGTTCTCTCTACTCGTTCGTCAGAGAAGTCATAGGGACGCCGGTAGTGAATACGGAATTCAACGGGAAGGAATCGATGTGACAACTATGCGTGCTAGTAGGATCTACCTGGGTATAGCCTTCGGAGAATGGAGCAACGTGTGTGGGAGGTAGACAGCTGGTATGGAACCGATTGAAAGAAAATCGATAAGTCGGTCTTTCGTAGAAAATATCCGCTCGAATGCTCGTACAGCTATCGTATAGCTATCGAAATCCACCCTCTAAAATCTCCTCGAGCGAAAGTTACGGGCCCGCTCCCGAGGCGGGCGTCTTTAAATAAATTCGCCCGGTCTCGTGACAAAAATCGGAGACCTTTATAGAACGTGTGACACAATGCTAATCGTTGCGAGCCAATATCGGTGTCAGTTACACCGAGGGGACAAACGAGTACGAATATATACTGAGACAAATCGATTCCTGGGGCTCCCGGCGCAAGCATAAATCGCTGAGCTTATTTGGGCAAATTGTAAGAGCCACGCGCCACGCCGACCCTATAGGTAACCGGTAGCGATATTCTGGACCTAGCGGCACTTAACTCATTATGTGGGCGAGATGTATTATGTCTGCACGATATTCCAGATTTACGAGCTAAGCACTGAATGAAATATGCAAACGTATGCGTCGGAGATTACACCGTCGAGCTGTTGCGAGTCCACGAGATCGGCAATTTAGAAATAGTTATCTCAAACTTATGTAAGATAACGAAGTTAAATTTATTGCAAAGTACATATTTACGTGGTGCATACCGTGCGTATAAAAGTGCCATACCTCGGGAGGCGAATGAATATTAAGAGCTCGATGGGATAATTTGCCGAGCGTATGTAAATACGCTCCATGAAATACAATTTTTGAGAACTCGGCAAACAAGACCCCCGATACAACCGTGGTGCATCGCGTATGCATTCTGAGGTGCATAAATCTACACTGATTAGAAGGGACTAAAACGCCGTAGGAGCTGAGAGAATACCGACAACTTCGCCAGGCAAGACGGTGTGAGTTAACACCACTTAAAGCAGCTCTACCAGCATACAGCCGGGGATGAGCATGGCAATCTAATCTATGCAGGTGAAATGTGCGGATGGTAGCGTGTTCCGTATGTTTCGTGCTCGTAATTAAAGTCCGGCAGGCAATGGCAACGCTCTACGGTATAGACGTTCTTGATAACCTGCTTATTATAAAAAAATATCCGTCAATATCCACGATTAAACCCTTCGACACACCGCCTGCTCGCGACAACCCGTTTCCCCCCCCCCCCCCAAAGAGTTCTGTACATAATACGGCGGAATATGGTTCTATACATATACAAAATATGCAAAAGCCAAGTTTGCTTCTATTATAAATGACTCCTAACGATTCAATTATACTTCCTACATTTTTAAGTACTCGTTCATCTTATTTAAAGTACAGATGTGACAATATGAAAAGATAATATGAAAAGAGAGATGTGGATACTAACTAAATTAGATGAACCGCGTATTTAAGTAAGAAATCGATTAAAATGCACACGTTACGCTACAGAAAGGATTAATCTCGCGTGTTAAGCCATTTCAAGTCTAGAAGGTAGACACGCTATCACGGTAATCTATGGTCAAAGGAAAAAAAATTTACTCCAAGTCGCAAGCAGAACCGGCCACTAACGAATGATTAGCAGCGTGATAAGCCTTGTCCACTAAAAAGCTCAACTAAGATCGATGTGATTTATTAATACGCGCAAGTTTAGGGCATTATTTTCTTCTCGACTAATAATACTTCAATTTTTTTACTCAGTTGTTCTTCTCCACTCTGTTTCTTTTCAGAATTAATGTATTATCGAAAGAAAAATGTCACTTCTAGTCGTCAGTGATGATTGAAAATTAAAAAGGGAGCTTATTGACAACACAACTGGCAAATTTTATTGAATTCGTTACAACGTTTCGACCTTACTTCAGGTTCAAATCGAATCTCAGTAATGTTTGGATGTGCACTTATTTTTATCTTTTGATTCTATCTCACGGATGACGATGGCTCGCTTGTCTACGAATTTTTCTTGTTTTCTTATTTGTATTGTTACTTGAAAAGGACCTGAAGTAAGGTCGAAACGTTGTAACGAATTCAATAAAATTTGTCAGTTGTGTTGACAATAAGCTCGCTTTTTTAATTTTTAGTATATTATTTTAAAATAATTAAAATAACTCACTTAAAATAATATTTCAAAACTAACAATAATAATTTCTTGTAAATTGAAGAAATAATATTGTACAGTTTACTATAAATCATTTTCAAATTGAATATATGTAGATAGTTATGTAAAATAAATTCACATGCGTAGTATAAAAAAATATAATGCAAAAAGATATTCCCAAATTCATTTTCATAAAAGACGAATGCGAAAAGCAAATCGTCTAGTTATAATGCACCGTAGTAGAACAAAACGCATTCTGACGAACATTGCAATGCTAATATAGAACGAACAATGCCCAGCGGAGAAAGAGAACATTTCGGAAGGCTTGAAATAATTAGCGGTTTCTCAAGTAATATTCTTCCCTGACTTCGAATTGCACTCTATTCACACAAAATTTACAAATTTGTAATAGTGACTTTCGACAGAAATTTTAAATGGCACAATTTTTCGATCAAAAACGCAAACGGGTGTTGTAAATTACTAATGTACTTTTAATGATTTTGTCATAAAATTAAATATCGTCGTTTTCATGTTAAAATACTTTTGCAATATATGAAGCTATACGTCAATAGTGGAATTATGCATATCAAAAGATTAATATACAATTAAATAACATCGCGAATTATGAAAAGTTTGCTGTTAAAATCGTGTTAATGCCGTCGTGAATTGCGTTGGCGTTCGGCGCTTGATGATAAATCGGTGTACGACAATTAATTTCAAAACGATTTGCGGACCAAATTCATATATCGATCGGCAGATACTGCAATTTATTGCAGTCTTCGGATGAGCAATCAAAGCCGATAATTAAACTTCTAAACTTCGCCCGATTGCGGAAAGTGCCACGCAGGCACGATTGCTTCTCCAGTATCAATTATGGTGACAAAAACTCATTAAATCCATTAGATCGCAATGCACTTATCGAGCACTTCCCGTGAAAATATTTTCCATCATTTATTTTAAAAATCTACGATCGAATTTGTGACAAACCAAATTACCCTTTAAAAAATTAAAAGTAATGCTCAGTATATGGAATATTTTACAAAAACCTCAAATATACATTTTTTAACTAATACTCGTTTACCTATTAAAATACACTCTTCAAACTCTCCTCGAACAAAAGTTACGATCCCACTTTAATAAACTAATACACACGCATACGTGGATGCCACATAAGTGTTTACAATCCTCGTTGTAAACTCCCGTATATAACAAGCGTTTTATTAATAATAAAGAAAGCCCATTTCGCTGTAATTTGGTTTCCAAGAAAGCAGCTTATTTACCTCGGGTTTTGTTGCCAATTCATATTTTAATAATTGAAGTATGACACGCGATTCTGTAGTGAGTTATAATCGAAGAAGATGAAAATATTGAACATGTCTAAAGGTAAAAATAAAGAGACCGATAAGTCACCTCTCAAATCCATACGGCATTACGAAATTATTAGGGCTTAAATATACTAATGCGTCTTCGAAAAAGTAGAGATTGCCGCTATGTTCATCGTTATATGCGAAAGCGCCTGAGCAGAACAGCTGTCTTGTACTTTTAAAACGATGTCTTACGTTTTAAATTCTTGCACAATAAAGCCGACGGCACACGATACTATTTTTCTGGAGTGGCTTACGAGAGCCAATCAGGATTTAGCCTTGAGTCAGCTGATCTAAAATTTTGCATCCTTATTGGCTCTTGCAAATCCAGCAGGCAAAATAGTATCCTGCGCCGCTAGCTTAACTGTCTCGTGTCTTAAGCCTATCACACAATAGGAAAGCACAGACAATAGGAATAAGGAATAGAAATACTGAATAGAAACCTATGTAGTGTCAAGACACAATGATTCGTTGGCAATAGGAGAGCTGTCCAATCATCTGCTTTTTGAAACCACTTGCCTGTCCCAGAGTCTCAACTGTGATTGGTCAGGAACAGGGAATAGGAAAACAGAGATCGAACACGTCGGAAATTCTGTTCCTATTGCCTATTCCATATTCCATTGTGCGTCGATACACGGTTTCTGGTAAGTTGGAATTTAGTTATTTCTGTCGCCTGTGTTATTCCCTATTCCTATTGTCTGTGCTTTCCTACTGTGCGGTAGGCTTTAAGAGTACAAGACCGTCGTTCTGCTCAGGCCCTAACGCAGACCTTGCGTTTCCTAACGTGGCGTTAAGGTTGTTAGGAAATCCTAAGAGACGTGGGTACACAATCATAAAATACTTACCTTTGCCATGCAACTGCTGTCGATTCGTGTCGGCGCGTAAGTTCTCGGCAGTGTGAACCAGCTCATCCAATTGCGGCTTCTTTTGCTCCAGCTCCCGCAAGACGTTCTGTAATATAAATCAAAGTGGCATGGCGTTATTACGAGATTCTAGCTCGGTTAATAACCGCGGTAAGATACAGCAACTAATGCGAAACCGTGGCACTTGCATCGGGCAAGTGCTCGGCGCATGCAACGGTGACGCAGCGCATAGCCCATAATCGATGGCAGCGTCGAAACTGCTGCAAATTGCAACCTAATGGCTGGAAGTCAGATCGCTCGGACACACGCACATTCTTCGTCCGAAAGTTCAGCGTGTCGGTTGAAAGTACGCGCAAGCTTCTAAGAGAATACCGGACGTTCGGATGCTTTTCGCTCAAACTTCGTACTTGCTGCAAATCGAGCCAATTTCCTGCTTCACGATACGTTGATTAACGACATGGAGTGCAAACAATTTATGTATATTACGCGACGTATGCACAGTGCAATTTTAACACGTGACACAAGGACTTTAAAAACGATTGTCCGTAAAAATATTAAATAAAAGGCAAGGCTTTAATTTAAAAAAAAAAGTTTATAAATTCTTCACGGAAAATCTGAATTTTTTTACGATTTTATAATCCTGTAAACTGCTATCATACAAAAAAATAGAATTAAAGTATTATCAGCTCTTTCTTTTGCGTGATAACGGAAATCGAAAGCGTAAGATCTTAAAGAGCGGTAATATCTTCACGTAATATATTCCACGAAACATTCAGGTCGATCACCTGTTTTGCCGTGCTGCTGTAGCTACCTTTTCCCGCACGAATCTATCGATCGTAGGCTTTCGACGTACCGAACTCTATTCTCTGAGCGGTTCGTTGTAGCAACCACTACACGACCTTTCAGAATACATACATAGATCATCAACCAACGGGGCTAATTAACATGTAATCTCATCTTAAAATTAGACGCCAGTAATTGAAGAGATACTTATGAGAGTACATTGCAAAATTGTGTAGAATTATTATAACTTCAAAATGGAGCACAAACATGTGAAACTCGAGTCCTGCAATGTACATAAAGGAATGTTCAAAATTGATCGATGTGTTCCATGAGCAAATTACTTATTAAAAGTTTTGTTAAACTTTCTCCCATGTTGTCAATGTAAAAATACTTTTTTAATTTAAAAGCTTTAGAATTTCTGCATATCCTGTTAAAACGCGATAGTATCAAGATGAGACGATGTTTACGGACGCTGTCGGTTTCGCAAGAAGATTACGATAACAATAACTATGTTAAGTCTTACTAATCCGCGTTACTCTGGATAAAAGGATACTGAATGACTGTCTTCCCGCGCAAGTGCTTCAAGTCTTAATCCGATTCGCGCGCTTGATTGCTGATAGAATAAATTTTCGCGATATTCGCCAAGTAAGAAACGTTCATTAGATCCGATCCTCGTTACGTTTCTTTTCCAATATCGCCAAGCTGGAAACTAAATCGCGACGAAGGAGCGTCGAGGGACATTAATACATACTTCCACTTATATAAATTCAATAATCAGTTTCCTTCATTCATAACAATAGGAAACGTATTTTTAATCGACAATTATTGTATCAAGTAGAGACTAATTGTAAGAGTTCCTGAAGATTTTATCTCATTCCTGGTAGATTCATTCAATTTCACTAAAGCCGAGGGATCTTCTCGGATCTGTCGCGAGCGTATATAATATATAATATAACCGCACGGTGTGTTGTACGTTGTGTGCGTGCGCGCGCGCGCGTGTGTGTATGTAAATGCACAAATTAGTTGGTTGCCGGAAAACTGCGAGATTAACTTGTTAATCTGACTAATTCACTTCGTCCGGTAACATTATAATCGCGCGCCTAACTTCGATATTAAATACAAATCTTTTCCCACCCAATGTGCAAACGCAATGCCACGTTTCAACCGACAAGGACATTGTTATTTTGCGTCTATTATTTATTTTAGGAGACGCTAGATCCGCTTTTATTTTTGGCAAGTGCAATCGACAGGAAATGTAAAACGTAATAATGACAATCATCACGATTGTGCGATAACGTCATTCACATTCAAATGCCGAATTAATATTCTACGATATAGTAAAGAGAATCGTTAATCCACTTAGCGGTACTTTTACTTCCGCTTCCTATGTAAAGTGGAGTTATTTACATCCCTCTGACATAATCGATCGCGCGTTACTTCCGTGTCACCAACCGCTTGGAAAGCTGAATATACACTCGCTTTCCAAAAAGTTCCAGTCATGTTAATAGGAGACAGGGGGCATGCAGGTTTTCCACGTACCGTCGTAAAATATTGAAAAATCTCAAAGTTTGAAATTATAGGTTTGTTTAGAGCTTCTACGACAATGTCATGCACAAATATGACAAGAGATCAAATAAATGTTTGAACGAGAAAGCTCATATTTGACGAAATAACTTGCAACTCTGTTTGACTTCCGTATTCGTCCATGTCCTATATTCTTCCCTTAACCATTTATATCATTTCCTTTGTACTTATATTCATCATAGGCAGAGAATGAAAGAAAATGTCAGTCAGATCGGGGGGTGACCGTAGGACATAGATAGGACACGTTAACCGAGCACTCCACTCCAATCCATTCAAATAGCAAGAGCCAATGGCCTGACACATTTCCATTCCCCAGTAGTAACCAATGGAAATCCCGTAGGATTGAATTCGATGAAACAGAAGCCGCGAGAATTTCATCGGATATCCAGTATCCCGACCATTGTGAACGTTATCGTTTACGTTAGAAAGAATAAAGCGAAAAGTAGCCCTAAAAGTTTTCGCGCTTCCCCCGAGCGCAAGAAATCATCCGTGGGTTCGCGCCAATCTTAAAATCCTGCGGTAAAAATTACACTAGTTAAATCAGCAAGTTGATTATATTGAATTATACAACGTACCATAATATTCAGTGCATCCCAGTATGATGCGCTCAGGATGCACTGAATAACGTACCAAGCTCTGCTATTGCCTCTTAATAGCATAAGCTGTTGATCTTCATCTGCATATATTAACGTACAATTTCGTGGTAATTTCTGATAGAATACCGACATGAAAGCTGTGGTAGACGAGCATTATTGTTTCTGCCACGGATAAATTTATGCTGTATTTGTTTTACCATAAGAGCAAGACATCACCGTAAGACTGACGGGTACATACACATCTTACATGAGAGATTTGATCATCTAGTAAAGTTAATAACAGTCTGCAGGAATGAATTATTTAAATCGAACAAATATTATTTTATAGCATCTACGTCACTATTAATTATCTTATCTAAATTCAATGATTAATTTCACCTAAACAAAATCCTGAATCTATAATATTTCAAGAGAGTGTTCTTGAGATATAAGAACCGCAAGAAAACGCATTACTTGGATGCTTTTGTAATATCTGCCCAAAGTCTACTAAAATAATTTGTCCTTGACATTCCGCCAAATTCGCAATGAATTTACTGCTATATTAACTAGCATCGAATTAAGCGACGTTACAAGATAACTCGGCTAATTTCCCCTTAACGACACTTTCCTTCATCTCCCATCGGGCATGTTAAACTTCATATACCGGCAATTAAGTTTTAATCTTCGCGGAATGACTTCGATATAACCTGTCAGAAAGCCCGTGAATAATATGAAATGCGAGTTCAGCAACTCGACGAATACAATTCGCGAAATAAAGCGCGCGAGTGTGCCTTGCGTAATACTACAAAGCACGAAGCACAAGCTTAATTTAATGTACTAGAAGCATTTTAAACAATCGTTAAACGCGAGAACTACATATTTCTCGAAACGTAATGTAGCTTTAATAATACGCACACAGTTCGAGTAATACATTAGAATTTGTCAATGTGTAAAGCACGATGGAAAATTAACGTAGTCATAAAGATAGCATTTTAAAAATACAAGAAGTACAAGATGAAATGACGAGAAGAGCAACGATAACAAAAGGAAAGAGAAGAAATGGCGTGTAAGTTAATATACCGATGCATTATATATCAAAGTTAACAAATTATACGTTCAAATTGTTTAATAATATTACTACCATAAATTATTTTAGAGATATCAATTTATTTCCTAAAGCGTACCAACATATATTTATTTTTTATATTTGCTCTGTAATAAAATCTTGGCTTTACAATCTTTTCCTCGTTGTCTTTATTACATCACGATGGTGCACGCCATTTCTGTGCTCTTTGCATACAGATAATTAAGTATTCTAAAAAATTAGTAGCTATTAAAGCTTGGAACGTGAAACTGGAAGAATAATGACCCGTGAAATGCCTCGCATAAATATGTACTTCTTACATAGTAAGAGGCGCGTTCCTTGAGGGAGTGAGCCCCATTTACGATCAGACCGCAAGTAAACGCAACTCGTCGAAGAAAATTGGACACGAACAAAACTTTTGACGTCCCATTTAGCGCAATCCGTTGAAACGTTCCCGCGGAGAAGCAATTTATCGGGAAGTGAGCAGAAAATTCAACGACTTCGCGTCCTCGAATGTCCCAACAATGTCTCCAAATGTCCCCGAATCCCTCAGAATGCCTAACCTTCTTTTATTATTTGTATGTAATTTCATTATTCGTACTGCGAGAGAATTATGAGGCTATCGGCAGCAGCAAGCTCGCAGAATAAAATGTGGACCCACGCCACAAATAAACTTTACGCCTTAATAATGGAAGCTCTGTTTAAAATAATAGATAGAATACGATCAGATTGCGTTAGATTTCATGCATATTCAATGTAAATGAATAAGACTCTTATTTATTTACATTGAAATTGCACGAGATCTGATCGTGTTCTAGCTAATATTTTAAACGGGGAAACTGTCTTTGTTTTCACGCAAGCCTCGTTGAACAATCGCGAATCATGTATAATGCTCATTAATAAGCTGAGCGATAAAAAATATCGAAGAAACTGTGACACTTCATAAAATAATGAAAAAATAACCGTATAATTTATGAGAAATGCATCTCAGTTTTCGACTCGGAGGATATATGGCTAGTTAGAGTCGTCGGCGGTAGTTGGTAGGATAACTTCTCCAACTAT